AGTATAGCGATGGCCTCCAACCTAGTATAGCGATGGCCTCCAACCCAAGTTCCCGGCGTTCCATTTGAATGAGTCTTCGGAGAATACAAGACTCCATCCAATCACTTCGCCGCCAAGAGGCCATTGGCATCCAACTCTTCCGGCTCCTTGAAGAGCGCCTAAAGCGCTTTTCTTCGAAAGCAGTGGGGTGACGGAATTTCCCTTGTGCGTCATGTTTTATTGGGTTCTTCCGTTTCACCAAAGCTTACAGTAAACTTATTGCCAATCGCCTCCGAGCTACTAGGGGTTCCTGGCATCACTACTAGGAGCAAGGACGCTACTATAGGGGCTCCTGTTCTTACTACTGGGTTCCCAACCAAATTCGGCCAACCAAACCCCGTGACGGCTTTGAGGCCGTCGCCACCGCAGAACCTGCGGTGGTCGCCACGCAACTCGCATTGGTCGCACGCAACTCGCACCTGCACATGTGCGGGTGGCTGGGCCTTCAAAGGTGCGGCCTCAATTCGGTCGATGCGAAGAACGCGCTGCGAGTTCGTGCGAAAACGTGGTTTTTCAGAGGGCTCTGCTGGGGAAGAGTTTGAGTCTATAAAGACACTCTACACGGTGATATCAAATCGGGAGGACTTCATCTTCAAAATGAAGCCCGTCACCAATGTCTTGAGACGAGCCGTGTTCATTGTAGACCCTGGGATCAGTTCTCCCCGATCACTTTCAAGGTCTGAAATGAACCCACCCTGAGATCTACTATCTATATAGGGATGTGCTTGCATACGGTAATTTAATTCGAACAAACGATGTCTGCTTCCAAGATTGATTTATAGCCTGGAGCCCTTGCACCTGACGCATGCTTCACTTGCTTCGCGAAACCACATGCCAAGAACTGATGTGCCAAGAATCAAAAAGATGTGCCAAGAAAGCCGCTCGGAACAAGACGCTCGTCAAGTGCAACCTTTTCGGACATTCTGAAGCCACCGGATAGCCCTTTCTGGACACATTCTTAGATCTACGGACTCGGACACATTCGGCAAACGGACGCCTTATATGGCAAAGTGTCGGACCAAAGGTCTCTGGCGCCGAACGGACAGACGATGATAACACAATAAGGCACGTTTGAGCTGTCGCAGTGTTGGCCCACGGACTCTTCAGCGACCACGGCCTGAAAGAATATTGAACATATTATATATATATATATTGTTTACTCCAACGAAAACCGTTGAATTGATGGGCGTCTTTTTCCCATCGGACATGAATTAGCGCAAGTGTTGATCGTTTTTTCCAATCGGATATCCCTTGGATGAGGTTTGCCTGTCTTGAATTGATCGTCATCTTTCGATGGACAATCCCTTGGATAGTTTTGTGCAAGTTGAATTGATTGTGGTTCATCCCATTGGAAATCTCTCGACATAGATTTGTTATTTCGTCGGAGTTCCTTCGGAATGCATTGAGCTGACGGTCGTCTATTCCATCAGAAATCCCTGGGCACCGATTTTGCATACTATGTATCATCTGTATATCATCCGCATTAAATGAGATAAAACAGTCGGCCCAAATCTTTCTAGAATAAAACTGGTAGGGCCAGCTGATGTAGAGCTGTACCCTGCCTCATGCTCATTAACAAAAAACTTTGCAGCCAAGTCGCCATCTGCTAGCACCTCCCTTTCTGATTGAACACCAGGCCCGCTGACCCCCACAAGTTGAAGTTGTTTTGTTGAAGTTCGACGCCCCAAAGAAAAATTTCCCTACAACCATAGACCGGGAATGACCCTACTTGTGTTCTGTGCCTCGAACTTCAAGCTGGTGAATCTACTTGTCATTAGCCTCGCGTTTTTGCAGCAAAAAAGCACACGCATGTGCTTTGGGGCTTGAGGTCTTTGGCATCATTTTCTAACACCAAAGGTCCATAGTGATCGTCATTTATTCGAACAAGAATCCCTTCGGGTAGATTTGCCGAAACATACCCGTGGAAATCCAACTTATGGTCGCTTGCCTTTAGAGCGCCCGGGGCGGAAATCTAATTTATCTTCACTTGCGTTTAACTCATCCCACTGCACATCTGGGCAATTTAATATGGACATGATGTGTCGTGATGTATTTTTAGCACCCCAGCGGACATCCGAATAGAATTCAAACCTAGCAAGATGGAATTTCAGAACTAGCAAAGTTCCCAGGAACAAAATTGTATGTTCTTGGGATTTTTTTAATACGTGGACCCGTGGACCCCATGTTATTTGAACGCTAGATTCTATGTTCTTGTGGTGACTTGGGGTCTGGCCTCACAAAAATAGGTCTACTTTGGCCTATTCCTCTTGACCCAAGTTGACCCAAGCCCCCCAAAGCAAAGTTGGAATCTCGGACCTGAATTCTCGGAATTCTCGGAACTGAATTTGCAGGAATTTATTTTTGAAGGACATATTTTTCTCTTTGGGGATCGATGTGGCAACATACGGCAACACACTTGTTGAAAGGTCCGCTGAGAGACGAAGATGCGGTTTCAATTCTAAAACCTTTCTGAATCTCACTAAACTTGAAAATTACTTGGACAATGTGTCTATCCAGGTACCAAACCAAGCATGGTCTCCGGCATGTTCCAAAGACTTTACATGCATGTCAGCTTTAAGAGGTAAATCCGATGACCATGACCTTCCGACTTGCCTAGGTTTTCTCTCCTGATTAGGGGCTGCAGTTTAAAACAAGCGCTCAACCTCGAGTCTGGGTGATTGAAGAAGAGTCATGTTTGGGTCCGAATCTCCTGTGTACAGCTCTTGTTTGGGTGGAGCGGCGAAACGGCACTCCGAAGTCGGGCCTTTTCCGTTCCTGTTCCGCTCCGAAGTCGGAGTCGTCAAGTCCGGGAGTGGTCAGATGGAACCAAAACAAGAGATCCCACCAAGAGGTCCTCATGGCAGCGTTTTGGAACCGCAGGATCTTTCTGAAGAAGGTGGTTGACGATTGTTCTGAAAAGGTCCCCTGGTTCAAGATGATGCGATATTACTATGGTCTTGCAAAAAACGAAATCCCATGTTCGATCCACGGAAAGCTTCCTTTCAAAAAACAAAACTGCTGGAGGGACTACGGTTTAGAACCCCAATAACGTGGGGGAAACCTCTCCACACGTCGTGTCTCCACACGTGTTCCACGTCGTGTTCGTTCCAAGGTCTGGACAGGAGTGCTCAGAATTTCGGCCTGGCGTCGCCCAAAAGCGGGAAGTTCTGGACCTTGGGTTGGTCACTGAAAAGCCACTCTCGTGGGGCCAAAAAGGATGATGGAACATATAGAGCGTATATATTAAATATGGACGAATATATTGCCCGCTGCCATATGTGGTATGCATTTCGGACATAGATGTGGTTCGGATTTCGGATGCTCTACTTCAGGTGCGGCTGACAATCACTGTTCAGCCTGTCTCACGCATCGGCCCAGCAAACCAAGACGGATGACATAATTGAGCTGAATAGCTTCTTGTTACTGCTGGTAAGGCACTTGTTACTAGTAGTAAGGCACCTTGCTACTAGTAGCTTTCTTGTTACTATCAATCACTAAAGTCAAAGCAACCAAAGAACACTTGCATATGTGCTGCATATTTGCTACTTGCTTTGAACCCAAAAAGTCAGAAAAACTCCGTTCCATGAATCTCTTTTCTTGAGCATCCCAAAGGAACATTCACCCCAAATGACCATGTCATCTCTCCCTGAAGCCATGCTCCCGTCGTTGCTCTCGTCACCACAAGTGATGATCTTCTTGGCATTTCTCAAGAGTGATGATCCCAATGAAGGGGGGCGGCCACAACGTCCATCAGGTTGGTGATCCTTCGTCCATCAGGTGGCGCTTCACGTCCCAAAGCGGCGCCAGTGGTGGAGCTTTCTGAGTTGTTTCCAATACTGTGCGAAAACCTCATAGTCAATGGAGCAACTGAGAAATATACACACCGCACTCCGACTCCTCACATGTGGTTCTCATCAGTTGACAAAGCTTTATCATGCATGAGTTTCCTGCTGCCAACCAACAGCTGTCAATAGCTACAGTGTCACTCTGTGACCGGCATTCATATTACCCCGGAACCGCAGAACAACGGCTGGGCGGCGGACGTGCCGAAGAAACACGGTGGGCAGGTCGCGATGGCTTCCGGTTGATCACCGAAACCGATTGTCTTCATGCGTGGGGTGACGTTCTTGCTACTAGTAGCGATGGCCTCAAACCTATACAATAGCAACGGCCTCCATCTCTTGTGGTCACCCCCCTGCTCACTTGATGCAAATGGGAAGGAGAGGACATGCTGCAAACTGTGTGGTTGAGGAACAGCCATCATGTCCTGAGGAACACCCCAAAAAATATGGCGGATGATGACGCCTTTAGCAAGTGGACCTGTGTTTCGCTTCTCGTTAAGCAAACCGTTCCGAAAACGAGGGTATGAGTTGCAGAGAATATTATACTTGGCCCCGTTGGAATTCTCAAACCGCTCCTTATAGGCCCAAAGTGGCCTAAAGCCTCGGTCTCCAAGCAAAATACTAACACAAAAACGCTGCGCATACGCACTTTGGTAGACACAAAGCCCCCGGAAAACAAAAAACGGCGCTCTGATGACTCCCACACCAGGAATGCAACTTGCGTGATTAAGCAACACTTTACGCTGATCGCCTGGTGCCTGCATGCCCTGGGGATCCCTGGGGTTGGTGGCCTCGGGTTGGTTGCCATGCGCCCGTTTTCACTGCCCTGGGCGGCGCATAGCTACGACTTGCTACGACCGGTCTCCGCAGATTGCGCCTGCACGGACTGAAGCAGCTTGGCAGCGGCATCCTGGAGATCGAAGGCGACGTGGGACGCGAGGTCGGGAGACCTGCTTGAGAGGTTGGGAGAATCACATGAGACCAGTGTTCCTGGGGCAAACAAATAGGCGAATGAGATCTACAAGCTCGAGTTGGAGCACCCCGCATATATGTGCTGACCAAGTTCTTGAATAAGGATGCGTCTAAAGCTTTGTCAGAATGTGCAACTGGAGTGGGCAAAAGGCTGGCACTACAGTAGGGACGTTTGGGGTTGAGCCCTCTTGGAAGGTTTCTGAACAACGGGTTTCGTGTTCGCAAAAAGCTGCATCAAGTGCCGTCTTTTGTTCAACATGGCGAAGCGAACAACAAGCAGGAAGTAACTCTTCTAAACTGGAAGATCCGGCCTTGCAGTGAAAGTAAGCCACTCCCAGTGGTAATCCAACAGTGTTCTGCAGGGTATTTTCAGGACGAGTTGCACTGTGGCGGCCCATGTTCACACGTACACATCCAGGTCGTGTGGAAAATGAGCATAGGATTCTCCTCTATATCCATTTAGATATGGTGTAAGAAATATGTTTCTCCCGTTTTCCCACAATTACCTACAAAATATATCAAAATATTAACACATGAGCAGGGTCAACATCTGATAATTGGATTACACATCGCTGTGATGTCGCTTCTATCTCCCCCAAACTCGTCCGATTGCATTTTTGTTCAGTCCTGTTTCATGGGTTCAACAAACCTATAGTCATTGACATGGGTGTCTCTGTATCACTGAAACCCTTCCGATCCTTTATTGAATCCAACATGTTTAACACCAATCATCAAGAGCACCTGTTTGGGACACCACTGGATATACAGAAATGAATTCCGCCGAGTCTTATATGAGTCTTCGGCCCGCACATGAGTCCTGCTTAGTCATGATGTTCTAGACTTCCCAAACTAACCACCTTTCAGTACGGATGCCAGTTGTTCTACTCACCAAATTGCTGAGGGTGAGACGCATAAAGATTGCAGAATGGCCCTCATTGTCCTAACATGCGTTCTTGACATTGGCCAAAAGGGATGTCTCTCTACCACCTCTGCGGATTCCAATATGTTCCAATATATAGATTCCATGTGGACATGATCCGCGCGAGAGTACGCAGTGACATCCTCGCGACATCCTGCTCCCTGGTGCTCGGTGCCGTCTGCGCCTGCTGCTCCTTCTTCTTCTCCTTCTCGCGAGCCTCTTTTTCAGCCCGTTCCTTGGCTTCTCGTTCCTGGAATGTCCGGGCGTGGTGGAACATGCGCGTGGCACAGCCATATCTTCAAAACATCTGAACAAACACGACCGATGCAGTTGGTTTGAGGGAACTTAAAGTTACGGTACTTGTTACGGTACTTGGTAGATGATTTTTTTGTTCCGTATGACAGTCAAGTTTGTCCAGCGAAGCCTAACTCTTGGGGCTCTTGTTGGGGCCAACATGGACATACTCAAGCTTAAGAGTCTGCAAGACACTCTCGACCTACACTGTCCAAGAAACAACACGTTGGCCATTCTATCCTCCAACGATCTGGAGACAGCTAATACCGGGCTCGACTTCGGGGCAACACAGTGGGCCATTACCTCGTGCACGGACAGAGATGACAAGAAAGGTCACGGCAGGACTATATAGTGACAGTGGGTTTTTGGATGTGTTCCAACTCCCTATCCCATGTGTTTTTGACTAACCTCTGTAGCTAGTCTAGTCACATGCAACACAAAATGTCAACAAAAAAACCTACCACCATTAGGAACTTGTTACTACTAGTAACAAGTGCCACGCTAGTAGTAACAGGTGCCTTACTAGTAGCAACAAGAAGCTATTAGAATTAAAGGAAGCCCGTCCGCTTGCATCCGCTTGCCACCACTTGGCACACACGGCCGGTATCGTGTAACCGCTCTTGTGACAGGGTCGATGCCCACTGCCGGTCTCGGATGCGCGGTCTCCGGTGATAGCTCCATGACCCGAAGGCTTGAAACACTTCATGTATCATATCACCGCCTCCCCAAGCAAGCTGACACTTTGAAAACATACAAAGCATTGCAAAACTATCAATCCGGCTCTGCTTCGCGTGTATTTCTCGTCTATCCCACTCTGCCTCGCGTTCTTTTCTATCTGCCTCCTCCTGCTTCTTCCTCTCCTCCTCCTGCTTCTTCCTGGAGATTTTGCAGCCGACTCGTGAATCATGAGACTGGAAAGGGCAATCGAAACAGACTCATCCTTTGGCCTCCACCCTAATAGCAATGGCCTCCACCCTGTCCTTTTGGTCCTTGCCAAAGTGCAGACTGGGGATTCTCACCCATGGGCCACCAGTGAAACACCCTCCTGGACCTCCCTCTCAAAATAAAAATATTTTTACTATGTACCAGTAACAGGAAGCATCACGAAGTTTCCCCTAGACTCTGATTTGCTTCCCATCTTCCAGTATCACCCCATTTTTATGACTAAAACTCACGAGGCTCAGAACGGGAAACCATGGATACCCCTTTCTCCTCCGGCTTGCCATCCCAGAAACCAGTGCTCTGCCCATTTGGCGCCTCTCCGCGGCTTCGGCCTCTTTTTGGGCCTGATGAGACGCAATGTATATCTCCAAATAACACGGAGAAACATCAACACTCAAAAAGTGTTAAAACATGTTAAAGCCATAGCCATGTAATGTCTTTGGCAACACCCTCATGGAGGAAGATTGACATTAATATTGACATGCTGACCTGATAACAAGCGGTTTAAATTTTACCAGAGAACATCGAATTGGCTTTAAACATGAGTCCCGAAACCATGCCCACATGTGATGGTCATGGTCACATCCTCGCAACTACCCGAAATCAACAGGTTACTTCCTTGTGAGGTTCCCACCTGCGTGGTCATGTGAGTTAAATCGTGTGACCTTCCTTGAATGAACCATTGGTTTCAAGAACGCGGACCATACCTCAACAACATTATAGTCATGTGGCAAAATACTGCCCTCCCACAGTGTCTTATGCTGGCAGGTTATTGTTCAAACGTATTTGTGCGATTTTAAGCTCCCGTGGAGTCTGCTGAAAAATCCACATGAAGATTCCAAAAGGCGCACAAAAGTCACATGATTTTGCTAAAATGTGAATGTGGCTGTGGGAGGTATAGAAGACATTTCTCACCTTAGGGTAGGTCGGTCAGTTCATGGGTGATCTTATAGTGACCTCTGTTGGTCAATTGCGGGTTTCTGTTATCCCGAGATATCCACCATGTTCCAGACTCCAGTCATGACGTCGTCCCAGTTCCAGAAATGAAAAGAGGGAAAGCACTTGAACTTGGGTTCCTTTTCTATTTTACCCAAATCGGTTGCAGCGTCTCACCATGTCTATACAGCAAAGGTCACGTGAGGAGTTACACCTTCATGGCCCCTGCGGTTGGGTTGGGGACCCCGTTCAACAAAAGCAAACAAAGCCAAAGGGCTCAGGCATTCAATGAAATGATGACAAATGACCCACCAGAACCAAAAGCACCACTCATGAGAACACGTGTCGGACATAGACCTCACCTTTTCTCTAAGCACCTCACCTCTACTTTCCACCCCCAATGCCGTTTTGGGACTTGTATTTTTATGACCAACCCACTCCCCGATGGGACTGCCACTGATGCCCGAATCCCCAGCATGTCGCAGAAAGACGACGCACCAACGACAAGTGCACAGAACGGACGAATCGGCTCTCGGAGCCACACCACCGAGGCGGCAAACCACATAACACAGCGACATGATCGTCCAAAGGAAAAGCGACACAACCCTTTCGATTTGGAGGTTCTGTCCAGTTTGGATAGGCGATGGTTGAATGCAGTGACTGGTGAGATTTTTGGAAGCCCTTCCTGGATCGGGACCCCCCAATGAAAAGTAACAACACCAGCACCAGATATGTTTTTGTGTTTTTTCTGTGTGTGTATTTGAGTTTTAGTTCAAGATCATGCCATTGTCCATTATACCCACTCTTCAGCACTCCATCAAACGTGCAAGACGCAAATCCCACGACCCCGCCGGTCCCGTGCCGTCTTTCACCGCACAAAGCGGAAAAAAACACCCACGGTGGCATCTATATACGTCGATGGCACTTGTTACTACTAGCGTGGCACTTGTTCCTACTAGCTTCTTGTTACTACCAGTAAGGCATGCAGGTGCGGCTACTTCCACATTTCCCCCAAAACATGACAGTTCTGCGCTCCATCGCCCTCCCCCCGTTTTCTCCCTTTGGTGAAGACTGGGCGAACTGGTCACAGATTCAGAAAGTGTTGACTTTCCATGTTTCTTGGGGTTGTGTTTGGGGAATTTGCCTCAGCTAAAACCATGCGGTGGTAACCCAGCTGAAACTTTGACTTTGTTGTTCAAATGAATCACTCTGGTCATCGCCTGAAACCGCTTATTCAACACTCATCTCACCGGCCTTTTCTTCCGCCTCCTTCTGTTCTCGGATCTTTCGTTCTTCTTCTTCCTATGGCGCCGAAATCAAGGAGGCCATGTCCGTTTTGGGAGGCCATGAATGACGTATGGCGAGGAGGCCATTTCTTCAAACTCGCTTTGGAAACTGATTCATGATGGACAAGTGCTCGTGCTACTCCTGAAAGCGGGTGATCCTGGAAGACCTCTGTGTGCGATTTCTGTGGATGAGTGGCAACTTCGATGGGGACACCCAAAGCTGACCTGGATTCCACGGAACAGCATTCGCAATCAACGCAGGTGACGGTGGCATGGGATTTAGTCCATCAAATGTCTTCTCAAAAGTAAACTCACGGTGTTTTGCATGCTTTGTTTCGCATCTCTTCTTCGTGCTGAAAGAGGCCAAATCCACTAGCCCCCAACTTATAGAAACTGTGCAACGCCTCCAAATATGCAAAATCTAGTGGCTTCTCTAATTATTCTCAGGTTGCCTCCGGGTATTATTGATAGTTTCGACTGAATTTCACGACCCAGGGAAGACTGCAACATCCCAGCATTAGTTTTGATTGCGGAACCACTGGTGGGTTGTGATGGTTGACATGCCGAATCCACAAGCCCTGGGACACCAAGAAACGGGACGCTGACACTACCACCTCTCAAGGTCTCATTTGGTATGTTGAATGGTGGACACACACATAGTCATGAACTAGCGCTAACCAGGCTAAGCCATCGCATCAGGAACCACAAGCGCTCATTTTTAGTGACTGCCAAAAGGCTTCATACAATGACCTGACCAGTCTCGGTGCTCCTCCCCCATCATGTAATTAAAATATATACTTACATATATATATATATATTTATACATATACATAATGAGAGCACACGCACGCGCACACACTTAGATCCATGCTCGCAAGAGCTATATCAGTTTGGAAATTCCTGTGAGCTAGTTGTGTAGAGTGCTCAAACCTTGACCTGGCAATGGCCCTGCGAGGAACGGAAAGGTGAAGAGTCGGCAACAATATGGTTTACATCACAGGTGATTAAAAAAGCAGGTACGTCATCAAGCGTCCTTGCTGATATCAGCACAGCCTGAAGAGCCTCTTTGTTAGATGCCCTCTCAGGTGTGGGGCATCCCCCTGCTTGGCCGTACGACGTTAAAAAACTAGAAAGGTTTGAGTTACTGTGGTCATGCTCCTTGGAAACAGGAGTTGACACACTTTGACACTGGTTTTCCGTTAAGCTCAATTTCTCCGATGGGAAGAAAGGTGATGGAACGGCAAGGTGAACAGGTCCGGTGATTTGAAATGTTGAACATGGTTTCACTCGCTCTGCTGGCTGCACTGCACGAAAGGTGGAAGGCTGCGGCGGGAAACCTGTTTGTGGGGAAAGTATCGTGTGGAACCACCATGAATCAAACCAAAAGATTGGACAGCGTGTTCAAAAGTTGTAGCAGGTACGCAGGGTTGATCGGACCCTGCTTCCCACTCTCGCCCACAGCTTCGTTGCGTGTGGTAGGGCGAGAGTGCCACACGCCCCTGCCTGTGTAAAGTGGAAAGAGTGGTGGTGAAAGACCCTTTGTCCAGGGTGGGACACACAC